ATCGTCAACCCTCTCTATCATCTCTCGACGCAGCCCGTTGACCTGCTTCGCAATAAATTTGTTCAGACGGTCATATAGATCATCAAAATAGTACCCCTGACTATGTGCGGGAGATCTACGGGAAAGGTCTTTGGACGGGGGAGGCGGAGGAGATGCCCTCGGCGACGGAGGTGATCGTCGATCAACTGGATCATGCTCCTATACAAGCAACAACATTACAAATTATTAACTTAATCCGTAATTACTAACTCATACAAAACGGTAATCAATAGATTTTATTCAATTCGCTCATCGAATCTCGATCGTGGATCAGATCGGACATCTGGTCATCTGGAGTGTGCGAAATGCCTAATTCATACACGAGACCCTGAGCCTCCTCATCCATCAACGGCGTCAACTCAGTTATGACTTCAAACTAACATATTGACATTTAAACTAGTTAACGATCATGTAATCAGATGTTAAATCACGCACAATATAAATTACAAATGTATAATACTTACCCGAGGGTCATCGATGATAATTGATGACTGTTTCCCAGTGGGATATCCCTCTAGTCGAGATGCTCTCCAATGGTGCATCCGAGGGCAGCGTGTCTCCCCTCACCTCGCAAAGCGGGCACCCAATAAGGGACGGTCTCATACGCTCGAATCTGCAACACATACAATTATTATATACAAATTCAATAGGAAAATAATTTTAACATTCATTATACTAATCATTTACCTGCACCGACAGGGGCAATCCATAGGTGTCGTACTTACGCATGGGTCCCTTCGGCTTCGAGTGTGATCTGGTGAAGACGTGTACGGTGTTCTCAAAACATCTCCGACCCCACGGATAGTCGTTGAAACGATCGATGTCGTCAATGATATCCAGATGGAAGAGGTCGATCGCAGTCTTCTTGTGGTGACACCGCACCACGCTCTCAAGGATGTAGACCAGACCTAACTTCAGTCTGTCTAACATCTGATCACACCTCCTGATTGCGTCGAACAGCTGTGTAAGAAGCACATTTCCCTGTCCCTCGAAGTAAGCATCATGAAGCCTATTTATTCTCTGAGTCTCATCACCAGGTGCTTCATCCCCTGTAATCTTTAATCTCGTGATCAGAGCAAAGTAGAACATCGAAAAACTAGCGACTTTATCCCCGACTACGAAGTGGAGAGCATCGTCGTCGATTAGACTCAACAATCAACATAGAAGTGTATCAATGATCTGACCCGAGTACTGCATATCTCTCAACAGGTACAAGCGTCATAGGAAGGATTGGCGCAGCATATCAGCATGCTGATCATCGAGCAGCTCTAACACAGCAGTGAAACTGTCAAAGCTACTATTCCATGTAGTTTTACCTGACATCTGTCTCAACTCTGCGTCAAGATGATAATTCATCCTGTAAAAATTCAAAATGTTATAACATTGTACAAGTAATAATAGAATAAAGTATAATAACATAAAATTTAGCGAACAAAATTGTAACTACGGTACGCAAGACGCAGATCATAATAATTAAAATCATCAATGATATGAATTTTTTTATCCTATTATCAACAATGTCAATTTTTCCCGATTATCAATATTTTTTTAATCAATTCAAGTTTAAAAAATATTTAAATTCGATGAACAAAAAGAATATTATTTATCAAAAACTAATAATAAAAATAAATATTAAATTTCAAATTAAATTTTCAAAAATTATTTCAAATTACAATTAAAAAAATAATTAAATTTGATGAACGAAAAGAATATCATCCAAAACTATTAATAAAATTAAAAGTAAAAAATTTATTTAAATTCGACAATAAATAAATTATTATTTATCAAAAACTAATAATAAAAATAAATATTAAATTTCCAACAATTATTTCAAATTACAATTAAAAAATTAATTAAATTTGATGAATGAAAAGAATATCATCCAAAACTATTAATAAAATTTAAATTACCATTACAATTAAATTTAAAATAAAAAGTTGAAATTAGAATTAAAAAAGTAATTTTAAAATTAATTTTAAAATAACAAATTTCTTTAAATTTAAATTATAGCTAAAATGAAAATTTAAATTTAAAATAAAATAAAAAAGTCAAAATTCGGATTAAGTAATTAATTTAAAAATAAATTCTAAATTAACAAATTTCTTTAAGTTAAAATTAAAATGAAAATGAAAATTTAAATTTAAAATAAAATTAAATTAGAAACTAAAATTAAATTTAAAAATTAGAATTAAAAATTTATTTTGAAATTAATTTTAAAATAACAAATTTCTTTAAATTAAAATTATAATTAAAAAATGTAAATTTAAAATAAAATTACAATTACAATTAAATTTAACATAAAAAATTGAAATTAAAATTAAAAAAGTATTTTTAAAATTAATTTTAAAATAACAATTTCTTTAAATTAAAATTATAACTAAAATGAAAAATAAAATTTCAAATAAAATAAAAAATTAAAATTAAAAAAGTATTTTTAAAATTAATTTTAAAATAACAATTTCTTTAAATTAAAATTATAACTAAAATGAAAAATAAAATTTCAAATAAAATAAAAAATTAAAATTAAAAAGTCAAAATTCTGATTAAATAATTAATTTGAAAATAAATTCTAAATTAAATTAATTTAATTTAGGAAATTTAATATTATAAAAAAATAAAAATAAACCGACTGCCTATTGACAGCCAGCCGACCTGCAACAGCAAAAACTTCTCCACTCGTCGGATTCCACCATTTTCGACGACTTGAAGCTCCCCAAACACCAAAAATTGGCCAATACACTTCATCTATAGGCAAGTCTAACATAAATCATGCATTTCATGCCACAAAAATCATATTCCAATCAATAATCTAAGTAAAACTCAACAAAACTCAATAATGAAATTATAATTCCAAAAAACTAACATTTACAACTCTTATAAGCCGGCAACCGAAAGTTCTTTGGTGAAGGAGATGTATGGACGATCGACTGTCAGTGAATATGATTTTCCTTTCCAAACCGTTGAGAGAGAGAGAGAGAGAGAGGAAGATGGAGAGGTATTTTTGAAAAAAAATGTATTTAAATTGTGTTTTTTTTTTTTTTTTAATCAGTCAAAGTCAATAAGGACGGTCAAATGGTCATTTTCACTTATTTCCTCCAAAACCCTAGCAATGCTATAACTCCATTACAAATCGTAAATTAAACTGTCAATTACATCTCCAGCCTCTCCCTGCACACAGTTCACGCAGAGATTCCCCGAAAATGGTGAGGCCCTCAAAAAATTTATGCCCTTGATCATTTTCTATACGATCCCTCTGTATACATTTGTTTAGAAAGTTTCAATTTCTCTGCAATGTAAATGATTTTTGGGTCGTTTCTTGTTTGTAGCCGTTCAAGAGGTATGTTGAGATAGGAAGAGTGGCCCTTGTCAACTACGGCAAAGAATATGGCCAGCTTGTCGTCATCGTTGATGTCATCGACCAGAACCGGGTATGTCTAACAATATTTTCCTTTGATTTATGCGTTAAATGCATTTATGCTTTTAGTTCATTTAATTGGATTCTTTTGTGTTTAATCTAGGTCACTTTCTGTTATTTATGTCATTCGCATTGTTGTTTTTTCAGCAATCTTTGCTGCACTGTGTGGATATAAGTTAGTGGATTTGACTATGTTATTTGGAATAATACATTTTTCAATAGATTTGATTATTGGATTTGGACTATATTAACTGTTTGCACTCGTAATTTGGTTAAAGAACTGAAATTCATGAATCTTTTTTGCTGCATGTTCTTTATAATTTATCTTATACCAGTGTTGTTGATAAAATCCAATAAGAACTGACATTATGGTTCTTCAATCTTGTTTTTGTGTTCGTAAAATGAAATGAATCTTGCCTGACTCTGTGCATTTTAAACCGTTTGCTTAATAATAGGCTCTAGTGGATTCACCGGACATGGTTAGGAGCCAAATGAACTTTAAGAGGCTTTCTCTTACTGACATAAAGATTGACATCAAAAGGGTTCCGAAGAAAAAGACTCTTATTGCTGCTATGGAAACTGCTGGTTGGTGTTAAATTTAGAATACCTCACTCTGCATTGGTTATATTGTTCTGTGAAATGATACTTTATGACCTTATCTTGCAGATGTCAAGAATAAATGGGAACACAGTTCCTGGGGGAGGAAGTTGATTGTGCAGAAGAGAAGGGCCTCTCTAAATGATTTCGACAGGTTCAAGCTGATGTTGGCAAAAATCAAGGTCGGAATTGTCTTGACAAGAGTACCTTTTATATTAATTATTGTGTGCGCTCTCTGAGAATAGATAAAAGGGAAGTACTACTTCGAGCGGTAGATGCTAGCCAATGGTAGCTTCCATAGAGAAACTGAAGTAAAAGTAGAAGCCCTACCAAACGCACCCTAATATCCTTAGGAAGAAATGTGGAGAACAAATAACAGAAACGCCACTTAAATGATGTTGAATAACACACCCATTTAAATAATTTATCTCCAAATGAACGGAAGTAATACTTCACGCAGTAGATGCTGCAAAAAACTAATTTCTCCTAGCTTTTATCGTAAATTACAATCTAATACTTAGGTGATCAAATAATTACTGTAATAGTTTCCAGTGTATGTTGCTATATAATGTGCTTGTGCACCCAATACTTGCTTTACAATTTTAACATTTGACTGCTGGTGGTGCTGATCAACTAACATTTTGATGCTGCAGAAGGCTGGCATTGTGAGGCAGGAGCTTGCAAAGCTAAAGAAAGAGACCGCAGCAGCATAAGAGTTATGTCCACCCAAGTTACGTGTGTCAAGATTTTGTAGTAGGATTTTGGAAGGCCTTTTGTTTTATTGATCTGAGCTTTACTTGTTAATGAATGTCACAAGAAGAGAACCATCAAATTTTGATCTTGCTCTTCACGCCTGTTTCTTATCTTACTTTTGACGCCTGTTGCTCATTTACTGTGATAGTCGTTCCTGATTTTTCTGCATTGGTTTTTAGGAACAAAAGCTCTGTGCTTTAAAGACAACATGGAGGGTTTCATATTATAAACAAATATTCCATGTGATGAAAATTACTACACATGAAACTCAATACTTCCTTGGATGAGAATTATGCATTACAACTTACAAACAGGAAACAAAATGGGGATACGACACAATTCCACATTTACAAAGAGTACTATTTATGCAAATAAAAGATTTCCTTCACTTGGAATTCAACGTTCAATGAAAACCATAGGCTTACTTCCGGATCGAGAGGAAGTCGAAGCTTCGAAGAGGATCACTGTGAGTGCCTTTGGTAACTGCAGTACGAGAGAAGGCAGATGATTTAGGTTCAATGACGGGTTGAATTCTTTGTGTTGTAGAGACGCGGCCACTGCTCGACATCAATCTACTTGAGTGGCCTTCGGTGGGTCCACCAGAGGAGCTTGGTCTGCTGCTCGAAATTGCTGCTCTCTTTGAAGCGCTGCCATTTCGAGAAGTTTGGACTCTTTCTAAATCGGGTTGCTGCTTGTTAGAAATCATAAGAAACCTTTCGGTAAGAAAGTTGACATGAGAAAGTGATACACAAGGGGAGCTTACTATTAGAATAAGTGCACGTTTGGCTATGCTTAGAAGTTTGAAAATTGTAAATATATTACTAAGAAAGTAATTTTTTTAGCTACAAGAAATTTTTTAAAAAGTTTTACATGCTTAAAAGGTCAGCCAAACCATGCTCTGAAACCTAATTTTATCATGGGAATGGGAAAAGATAAAATACCACATCCTTGGATGAAGGTGCATCTTCTGATGCCCTGTGTCTTGAATGTTCACCATGACGCCCTGAACCTGCAGGGTTCCTCCTCGAAAAAGCTTCAACAGCACCCGAGAATCTATCTCGAATATCTTGCCCCACTAGATGAAACAACCAAATCATAAGAGAATATCAATAAATCTACCAATCACTATTAAAATAGTAAAGAAAACAGAAATGTTACTTCGAATAATGTAAACAGTTCCAAAAAAAATGAAACAACTAAGTACTTGGGACATATAAAATGCAGAAAATAAGGATTCACTCAAGCTCATTCATAGTTAGTTCGTAAGTTCACTTAGATATCACAAAAATCTTCAGTTTCAGGTATTATTTCTGCTAAACACATGTACCAGATGTTTTTAATGGTCTTTCACAAGAAGTTCCAGCCCCTGCATTGCCACTGGGATTCTGGAACCAAAGGCATGAATTAGTATATTATCCTCGAAAAAAGATGAAACAAACTCTAACGTGCGCAAGCACTTACTCTTGCTTTAGAATTGGTGCCAATCTGAGGATACTTCAGTATTGTCCAATCAAAAACATAATCAAATTGGTAACCTGTGGAGATAACAAGTCATGAAGCGGATATTGCAACATATGCCTGCTTAAATACAAAGTACTTGAGAAGGAACTCAACAAGAATTACATAGTTCTAGTACTTGTTACCTTCGCGAATAAACAAGTCCCTAAAAAGCCTCTTCAAATAAGAATAATCTGGCTTGTCCTCAAATCTTAATGATCGGCAATAATGAAAATATGATATGAACTCAGATGGATATGATTTGCATAATACCTGTAAAAAATTTTAAAATCATGTGAACATTCAGCCACTGTCACTACTAAGTGATATAACAAAGGGGGACCACCAAATTCAAAGAGGTTGTGCTGGGATGAAAACGATGGAAAGATTTAGCATACAGGAATAGAGGAAAATAATAGTTAATGAAAATAAACAAGAATCAACTCCATCAAATTAATGATACAGACAGTGGAAAATAAAAATCTTTATGCATCTTATATATGAATTTGTTGAAATCACAATTTTTATAATAATAGAACTCTTCATCATA